CACACACACACACACACACACACAGGCCTCTGCTTCTCCTAATCAGCTCCTCGTTGACAGAAACCAAGCACAGTGATTTTCCTGCCATTGTCCAGAGAAACAAACTGTGATGAGAGGACGACATGTTTCTGTACATTCAGGTTCACTCGCTCTGCAGCTGCCTGACATGTCGCACCTCACTGCTGCTGAAGATGATGGAGAAACAAAGGGTCGGACCGAGCACAAGCTCACAGCAAATGTCGGTGAGGAATAAATACGTAAGATAAAATACTGAGGAATGATTTGATCGATATTAGTGGTTCACATTGAATTAAATGTTCTTTTGAAATCATTTGAAAATGGAAAACTGTCTTATAATGTGATGGTTCCTGGCATTTTAGGTAAAGTTCTTATGACACTGATGTTTGTTTGAGCGTTTCTGATAAGTTTTGTTTTAATTAGTTTTTTCTTGATGTGAAGAAATGGGGGTGAAACGTTATGATTGACAGCTTACCACAGTGGCTCCACCCCCTGATCACTACTGCACAGACGCCAAATCATGTCATCAGCGTGAGATGGCGTTCGTTCATCTTTAATCATAGCCGATGATTTTCAACATGGTGACATCATCAACAGGCTGGATTTGTTTTACACTTTACGCATTAAAAACACAACATGTCACCGGTCGTTGGCCGGTGGACGGCGTCGTGTCCCTGACGTCCAAAATGTCGTCCAAAGGCGATGAAACTGCACCATGAGCTGTCAGAGGACTGGAACTCAAACCTCCGCTGTGACCTCATCGCTGATTGTTATCGATCCTCTTTCGAACTGGCCACAGTCTGAGTTCTCTCTCCCTCTCTCTCTCTCTTTAGGGGTCGTCCACGATTAAAATGTGAGATAGAAGGAAAAGCTGCTTTTAGGCGTCGAATCAAAGGAAACGTGTTCAGGCAGACAGATGTGAGATATGAGTTCATGTGGAAAAGAGACGGACTGAGTGAGGTCATGTTTGTTTTCATGCACTTATCGTAAAAGTGATCTGCAGGACTTTGGAATCAAATCTATCGGGTTACAGTTTATGCAGTTTTATTTCATTTCTTACAGGATAAAAACAAACTAAAGACGATTTTTATGGAGATGGTGGAGCAGTTCAACAGATGTGCAAACATTCAACACACACACAGACACACAAATATGTTTAATCTGGCCTTTAACTGTTCTTACATTTATTCCTATTTTATCATTGAATATTTATTTTGTAAATAGATATTGTAGCAGTACTTCCATCTTATTGTTGTTTTTCTGTCTTTTATTATTAACCTCCTATTTTTTTTCAAGGTTTAAAAGCACCACCATTTATATTTAGTTCTGCAAATCAGCTCCCTAAATGTACCTGATGTTTTTTTTTTCATTAAGATCATTTATTTACTGCTGAAATGTAAAAGTGTCTCTCTGGTGTAAATGAGAAACCGAATCCAAACAGCCAAGAGTTGTGATGTCACAAACCTAAGAAAACCAATCCTGTCAACTTGTAGGCAGGGCTCAGGCTCTACTGCAGGGGGCGCTGTGACGGTGGAGTCACATTCAAACCATTTTAAGGGGAATTTTTTTTAAATATATCATATTTTTTAGGGAGAAAGATGAATTTAAAGTTTTAATCTGCTGGAGTGGGACCGAAAGAAACGGATAAAAATAATGATTTCTCGTTGATTCTGTTTTATTGCACGTCCTCTTCAGTCATTCCTCCCTCAGTGGAAAACACCTTTTGTTTTGGTTGCACATGATCCCATCCGCTGTAACTTTCCCTCCATCCTCTCTGCTGCTGAGCCCCTTCCTCCATGTCTGGTGTGATTGGTCGGTTTCCTGTCAGTGTGCACCCTGGAGGTATAAAACCATGTGTGCTAGTGGGAGGAGACAACCAACAGCCTGCTGTCGAGTACTGAAGAACGCTGCTGCTCGCTGTCACACTCCTTCTCCAACAGCTCTGACTTTGGATCTGTACCTCTGTCGCCATGTGTAAAGGACTCGCCACACTTCCTGCGACATGCCTGAAAAGGTAAGATAATCCAGTCTGCACACATTTTGTCATTTTTAAACGAAACTTTAACGATTTTAAATCAGTCTCCGACTTGACATCAACAGGTCAAGAATTGTTGATTAGAAGCAAACTGAACTCTTCTGAAATGCCATGTCCCCCCTCCCCCCTCCCTCCCCCTGCCCTGTCACCTGCCTCTCCACAGTGCCAAAGACATCAAGCACAAAATAAGCTTCTTACTGCAGAAGCCTGAACCTCAAGCTGCAGATCAGAAGCAGATGAAGGAGAAGAACGCTGCTGCTGCTGTGAAGAGGTCAGAGGAACTACTCTCTCACTGTGCACAGTTTGAAATGCTTGCTCTGATTGGGTTTATTGAATAAAAATAATTTGCAAGAAGCTAATTTAACCACATCCATTGAACACTGCCTCTGTCGGCGTCATGCATATGTATTGTCTCTGCGTGTCGTAGTTCTTTCTCACTGTTACAGATATTAGCACAGTGTGATAAAACTACAAACGAGACCAATGTGGAACTGATAACCGATCTTCACATCTGTCGGACTTGACTAATGTCTTAAATTTGACTCGTTATGATCAAGTCTTAAATGTTGAAACCCTGGAAGGTGTTTGTGTTCGCAGCCTCTGAGAAGATTTGTGTTTTACGTTTCCTGCTCAAGACTCAAAACCTGCTCAAATCTTGTCCGGTGTCACGATGACGTGTCCCTGAACGAATCGGTTTATTGATCGTCTCAGTTTGTTGAGATGAAGGGATGATGAGAGAAGAGGTGAACGGGTGGACGTGACGCTCACAGTGAAAAACTGCAGCTTAAAAGTCAATTAATTCAACAGGAAACAGATCATTTCCTGCTTCCTCTACCTTCCTTTTTGTATTCTGAGGCTCTGTGACGCTTTGTTTCGAGCTGTAATTGCAGTAGCAGGTGCAGGTTTTTGTTACCATGGGGGAAAAAAAACCCCATAATGGCTCTCATGATATTAATCTGAAACTTAATTATCGTTTCTGGAAGTCGTGTAATTCCTGATATCGGATCTGGTTTGCGTAGGAACACATTATGTCGTGTTGTGGCCTCGGTCCAGCCCTCAGTGACCTCAGGTTCCCTCTGGAAGGTTTTCATTCTTCTTCATGAGCTGGTTAGAACTGACGTCTCTTGCCCTGATCTTCTTCTTTAATAAACTGTATTGATAATGTTTTATACATGTGAGTTCCCCCAGCCGGGGATAAAAACTCAAAATTATAAAAACCTGGAATGAAATCTGATCAAACACCCTGAATTCAGATTGTGTGAGGTCTCTGTGCAGTGCATATAAAAATAATTACATGCACACAGCTTCATGCAACTGCATTTAAAAACCTGTTTATCTGTGTTTTAGGGTTCCGACTGCAACTGAGGTGAAGAAGTGGAAAGAGTCTTTCAGCCACGTCATGAACAGTGACAGTAAGTGTTGAACACGGATCTCACACCTTCAATAACATGTAATTATTCAAACCGTGTCTAATGAGGCTGCGTCCAAAGTGAATCCCACAGAAGTTGGTCTGATTCTAATAACACTGATTAACTGTGAGGAAAATGCTTGACTGATTAGTTCATCTGCAAAGTCTCTCCAGGGGCTGATTTATATATATATAAAAATCTAAACATGATAAATTCTCATGTGACATGATGCTGCTGCAGTCATGGGAATATTATCAGACGAGGCCTCGACCTTCAAATTCCTCGCTAATGGACGCTGGAAGGGTTCAGAGATTTCAAAAGCTGCTGTTTGAAATGTTGCACATTCAGCAGCATCGACCTGCAAAGATCCACCTGCACAGAACGGCTTTGATAATGTTGTTAGAGAAAAGTTAACGGGACTGAAACAGGAAACACATCTTGAGCTCCGACTGCATCTACACACACACACACACTTTCTCTGATGCATTCTCATGCCCTGGTTTTGTGCTACGTGTCTGGAGACACTCGTCAGAGGCCCCTCAGGACATGCTGAGCAGTACTGTGTATATATGTGTGTGTTTGTGTTTGTGTGTGTGTGTGTGTGTGTGTGTGTGTGTGTGTGCACAATCCCTCAGAGAATTACACTGTGTGTGTGTATGGACACAAAACAGGAGCAATGGCCCTGCGGGAACATGCTGGGTGCTGACCTCCTCCGTTCCATGATCTCATTCGCTGACCTCTTACATCGTCATGTCTTCGTTCTTCCGATCTTCTCTTTATCTCGTCGTGGTCTCAGAAGTGTCGTCCATCCATTCTTGGGATCGTGTAGGGTTTCAAACTAAGCCTCAGATCTGTGTGTGCTGTCAAAAATCATTTTTTTCTTATCCAAAAAGACAGGTTGCAGTTATCGCTGCTAGATTTTGTGACTAATTTTTGGGATAAAATCCAGTTTACTTTATAATATAATATAACATAACAAACTTCAGCTCCAATTACAAAGAGGACACTGAGATCACATCTGCCGACTCTGATCCAGGGACACGAAACCTAAAATGTAATGCATCATTATTAAATCAGAGCGATGGCACTGATTCTGTTTTCAGACATAACACATAAAGATCATGTGTCTTTGTTCCCATCCACAACAGCATCGACCATTATCTCCTAATTGCTCTTCGATCTCGTCGTCTTTCCAAGTTGACGTCTTTGTCTGCATTGTCCCCAACACGCAGCTCTTCTTTCTCATCCTGAGATATTTTTGTAATCATCCAGCTTCCATTGTGTCATCAACACGTCCACGAGCCTGCTGGGAACCGTCTGCATATTTTCCTGCTGTGGGAGGAGAGCTTGTAGAAAAAGTCTGGAGCAAGAGATTCAGACATTTGCTTTCTCACTTAACAGAAGCATTTTTTTTTTTCTCCTCTTCCCTCGTCAGCGGGTCGTCGGGTCTTCAGCAGCTTCCTGAGGTCAGAGTTCAGCGAGGAGAACATGGATTTCTGGCTCGCCTGTGAGGAATACAAGAAGACAGGATCGTCTAAACTGGAAACCAGAGCCAAGCGGATCTACCGGCAATACGTGGAGGCCGACGCCCCTCATGAGGTGATTACTCTATTATGGTGAATGTGGATGAACTAGAGAGAGACAACTAATTAAAGTCATGTTGAAACTACACACACACACACACAAACACTTCTAAAGGCATTTTTTATAATCGTATTAATGCGCTCACACATTCCACTTCAGTGAATGGAACTTGAGTCTTTGGATATAATGAATAATGCTGCAGCGCTAATGACCTCTCACTGAGCTGCCTCATTAAAAAAGGTTTTCATTCTGGGATTGCATCAATGTCGCGGGAATGCAAAACGTGGATAAAGAGACTGAATTTACAAATTATTCATGTTTATTTATATTTATACATTTTTCATCCTTTATCGTTTTAACATGAAGGATCGATTCTCAGAAAATCCTGGGGTGTTCAGAACTACAGATCTAAAAAAAACATATGTTTCTTATAACTGGAACTGAACAAAACACCAGAGACCTTAATAAAACTATTGATCATTTGTGTTTTTGAAAATTAATTACTAACAGGCCTAACAAGGGTTAATAATATACAAGAATATAAGTGTTTTTACATAAATATATGAATTTTCTCTCTCTCATTACCTCCTATAATCTACAGTTTTTGTGAAATTTCAATATAACCGGATATATTTTATAAAAAATTAAAAAATTATAATAATAACTTTATTTCTACAGCACTTTTCAATACGAGCAACAACAGACAATATGAAGCTCACAGTCAGAACGTAAAAATAATAGATCAGATAATAAAAGCAATACACATCACATGATTAAAGCTCTTCATGTGTAGTTAATTAATTGATTAATTAACTTTAAATCTGTTTCAGAAATTAGATTGATTATTTCAGTCATTCAATATGTATTTTGCAATTACTACAACATGATAATTGCTAGACCTTGGAAACTACATTAAAACTGCATGTTATGTCTGTGATTTCACAAAATTCACCCGGCATCAATACTATTTTCGATTCTTCTTAAATCCGTCTCCATTTTATTTACCCTCCGTCTTCTTCGTTCTCTCCAGGTGAACTTGGACGGGGCGACCAGAGAAGAAACGAGGCAGGGCGTGGAGAACGCCTGCCCGACCTGCTTCGACGAGGCCCAGAGGAAGATCTACGTCTTGATGGAGAAAGATTCCTACAGACGCTTCCTCGTCTCCAAGCTGATCCAGGATCTGTCTCAGAATAAAGAGATGAAAAACTGTGACTGTGTGGAGAACAGGCAGACGTTAACTGGCGGCGCCTAAACGAGAAGGAAAGAAGGGACGAAGACGAGGCTGCAAATGTACAAGAGGAGCTGGAAGAGATCGGTTTAGAGTTTGGAAGAATCTGTGGTTTAGAAGGTGACGTGAAAAAGGTTCATGTGGGATGTGGTGAAGATTTTATTTCTCTTTTTTGATACTTTGCATTAATTCCTGGATGTTGTTGGTCATTTGAGGTTCCGTGCTATGCCGACTGTCTGTGCGTCTATATATCCCGCCCCCTTTGTCTGATTTGAGCAGTTTACGATATATAAATATGATGAGGTTTTAAATATTTGCATTGTGAGCTTTAAACATTTGCTTCTGCAAAAACCCGACCTGCTCTCCGGTCACGTCGAGGTCATGTTGACGCTGACGACAGAAAACAATCTAACGCTACCTCCACCCAACGGAGACGCCTCCATTCAACCCTGCGGTCATTTGTATCCCGATGACAACTACGTCTCTGTGAAATGTAAACCAGTTCTATTTTTTAAAGAATGACCCAACTTGATTGTGCGTGATGAGAACGCCAGCATCGCCGAATGTTCAGTGTCTTACCCATCAGTGTTAAAATGTTGTATTTATGAGATTGTACCAAGATATTTATACATTTTAAAAATAAAAAGAATATAATTAAACCAGAGCAGCTGATGTGTACTTGTTTATTCGTTCTAACAATATTGTCAGAGTCTTTAGTCCTGGTCGTAACAACAGGCTGCACAAATGTTGATCTTGACTTTCTGTCGCATGTCTTTTAGATTTGTGATTTATCTGTAAATGTTTCAGTGGTCGACCTCCCTCCTCCCGTTCACACCCGATCTGAGCGAGGGGTGGGGGGGGGCACAATGTAAAAATACCTGTTCAGTTCGATGGCCACGCTTAAATGTTTTATCAGAATGTAAACTCCCCTACGTAGATTTGTGTTAAATGAAAATATTGTCGTATCAAATCTGTGACTGTTCGCGAATAAAATCATGTGATGGATAATCTGAACTTTGCGGCTGCTTATAGGTTCGTTTCAAGCTTCTGCAGACGTGTTAGCACGAGGCTGAACTCAGCCGAGAACACATGTATGCTAACATGCTCGCAGTAAAACATATAAAAGGCTAATGGTCGGCATTCAGGACGCGGCTGGGGATCAGCCCAGCAACCTTTAACTCTGTGTTTGTTATTGTAACCATAGTGACGAAGGAACCTTCCTGATGTGAACCACATAGATTTTTCTCTGAACCCTGGTGACAGACCTCATCATTTGTTTCAAATATTCTCAGACCCAGAGTCAGTAACAGATTATGAAAAGCTGGAAAGGAATATTTGAATCTTGACGGGTCGTGTGTTAAGAATGAGCAGTTCTAATCTTAAGCAGGTTTCAGACCAGCGCTGCTGGAGAACTCGAACGTCTGGGTCAGTCGCTCTGTGGAAAGGTCCAGAAAACGTCAGCGTGAGAATACAGCAGGGAGCTTTCCAGGAAAATACACAACGAGAGACGTTGATGACTTTTCTTCTCATGAAATTTAAAAACTTTACTGTCAGAACGAGATCTCCGACCATTAAAATGCTAAATTTGTTTTCATCTGCAACAGTTCAAGTCTCCTGTGTTTGGATTCACCTCCGCGGCCTGATGCACATTCACAGCCGATCTTCATGCCTATTTAAGGGCAACACATTTAAAAAATCATGACTCACTTTACAGTAAATAAGCCAAATTTAATCTTGTGCACATCGGACTTTGACGAGCAGAAGAAACTTAAACACGTCTAAATATTTACCGTGTTTACTGGCTGCATGCTTTGCTGCTGAGAAAAGCCATAGAAGTAGAAACAGAAATGTCTTGATGGTTTTATTGAGGCTGGATCTGTAAAATCTTGGGTTAATAATTCACCAGCAGCCTCATTGTGGGGCTTCCAGGTGAGGCAGTGCTCCAGGAGCTTTTCCACGCAGATCTAAAATGGGTTAATCTTTGAAAACAGAGGTGACGCAGACGTTTGTTGAAAATGTTGCTCTCAAGGAAGTCATGCATACGCAACAGGGACGAAAACATGCATGTTCACGTGTGCACACGGGATCAGATTCTTGTTTCAGTCTGATGTCCTGCAGCTGCAGCTCGAATGCAGGAGGCCAGAGGAGAGTGATAAATCTGGAGGATGTTTCGGACGTCTAACTGCCATGTAGATGATGACGAGGTGGTAAATCCTGTGTGTTATTCTGATGAGTACGATGACATGAAGAGAAAAATAAAGGATATGAATCTTCTTGATGGTGTCGGAGCTCATTAAGGAGGGATGATGTGGATTTAGAGCGTTTTCACACCAAAGTCTGAACCAAGATTATAATGTCTTTTATTATTTACACTAGTTTTGTTTTGCAAACTAAACCACTGACGGCAAACTTCTCCCTCAAGTGTTGTTTGAGTCCTTTATTGAGGCATTTTCTGAAAACCTTTTACCCTCAACGTCTAATTATCTGTCTCATTAAGAAACGTCTCATTAAGAAGCGTATTTCACCACAACGCCTTCTTTCTTCATAACTAAAATATCTCAGGTTTTCACTTTATATTAATTTGATACACCTCTGAACCACCCAGACATTCTGTGCCTACAGGAAATTAATCCCAGCGAGTGATGATGGTCTTCATGTATTCAGACTCATCAGTGTGGGTGTGTGCATGGTGCATCTCACCATTATCCCCACAGGACGTTTAATTCTAAATTCATAGAAAAGAAACCAATCTAGGGCATCTTGTGTAGTTGTTATGTTACACAACTCCTGGGTTTGTGTACTTTACTCTGCCTGCAGCTGCAACGCACAGTCTGTTCAGACTCTCAGGCCTCAAACCTGCTTATCGCTCCGTGGTCTCTCCTGTCGCCCCAACGCCCAGCGGCAGCAGCAGGAGCAGCAAATTAAAACCTGACAGGAGGATCTGGTGCTCTAATGGGATCATGCCTGCGAGGAAGCACGTATACAGACACATGCATGTGCAGAGCACGTGCACACACTCAAAACTTAATGCACGTCTGGATCTCTGGTTTGTCTGAGAGGAGTTTGGATAATTGAGTTAAAATGATTTATCTCATTGTCTGTTTTCTGTTGTCGTGACCTTTGATAACACAAAGGTTCATTTTACGACAATGTGCTTTCAGAATAAAAGCTGACACATGTAGTTTCAATCTATTTTCCTTCAATGTTTTGCTGCTGATGCATGATTTTGAATTTAGTAGTAGTTGTTCAATGCATTGATGCAATACAGGAGTGGTTGGATAAATGGAAAGATGGAGGATATATGTGTATTTATAAGAACATCTGATAAAATCTGTTTCCTCATCTTAAGTCTAAAATTCGAGGTGTGTTTTAAATAACCAGTGTTGCTCCAGTTCTTATTTCTTTTTCCGATCAACAGCAGCGTGATCCGAAATCCGATCTTTGTAGATAAAATAAACCAAGACGTGTTTCAGTTTGATGCAGAAGAGACAAACTGTTTCACAGAACTATGTCGTCCTAACTGATGAGAGTCTCTAATCATGCTGCCGCTCATTAAACCTAACGCCTCAGACTCATTTGTCTTTTGTTAGAGAACCTCATTACGCCACAGGATCGACTCCTCCTCTGTCTTTAATGAATTTGCTGGTTCAGTCATATGTTCTCTTTGGAAGCAGCTTGTTAATCGCAGCAAAGAGCGAAAAGAGCCGAGGGAACATCACACTTTGTTCACTTTATTCACGGGAGACCCTCAGAATATTGCAGGTGAAATGATGATAATAAGAAAGACGTGGACGTAACAAAGCTGTAAAACTACGTCTGATGAGATACACACACACACACACACACACACACACACACACACAGAGGAGACCTGATGAGAGGAGCAGCAGCTGCAGGCACCAGATCAGCAGGCGATAAGCTGATAGCGAGCATGAAGACAGCTGAGACAAACTGACTGGTCGACAGGTGAGGGACGACCGGTGTGGAAAATAAAATCGTCTCTGCAGATCTGGTCAGAGCTGCAGCTGTGAGGTGAACTCAGGCCGAGCTCTCGTCTCTGTGCAGGAATCATCCATCATCATCATCCATCCCACGAACGCACTGAACAAACACAAATCCAGCATCTTAAAAAGAAGCTGGTTCTCATGTCCGAGAAACAACATCAGTTCATGTAGTTCCTCTCTGACGAGAACATCAGTGACTGATGTTGTTTTAATAAAACTTCAGATTTGTTGCCGGCTCAGACTGATGTGACTTTAATCAACTCGGGGGACGGACTGCGGCCTCATCCGCGAGGATGTTGCTGCCAGCTGCTGATGTCACTGGGGAAATGTCGGACCGTTCTTTTATTTCCTCTCATTAGAAGATCGAGAGTTTTTCTTTCTCTGAAATAAAATTCCCCGAAGCTTTGAGAACTCCGTCATCAGCCACCTGTTGAGAGCTGCTGTTTTTAACGAGGGGCTAATTGGGCTTTCAGCTTCCTGCAGCGCCCACACACACACACACACGCACCTCAGCCTTTATTGACGCTCCAGTGAACATAAACAGTGATTCATAGTTTAATGATCTTAATCCATCAACACAAGTATTTGAGTCTCTGTGGAGAACGAATCAGCTCTTTCCCAAAGTCCCGATGCCAACATGTCTGCATGATCTGTGTGGACGTCTCCGTCATCGGCGGATGACTGGTTCAGCTTCTCTGGGCGGCAGCCAAAGGCAGAAGAAATGGATTATACTGGAAAAACATGATCCAGGAAAACCTCACGAAGACATTCTTTGTCTTCCGGCACATTTGGAAGAAAATCAGCTGAAAATAAAACAAGCATTCAAGGTTTTTTAGCTGGAACACAGTTGGCAGGATTTAAGAAATACGATGAAACAGAGGATTGACTTTGCGTGACACAGTTTTAAAGTTTTACTCTGTAAATGTGACAACATACTGGTGCGTGGAAAAGCATCCATCGTCTTAAACTCAACAAAACGTTCGTAAGAAACGTCACCAACATCCTTCAGGGACCGAAAGCATCTGACCTCTCTGCGTCTATTTGTAGAAAGTGCAGTAACGGATGCGTCCGTGCACAACTCTGACAGTGTTTGTGTTGGCAGCCGCTTCCTCAGCTGCATCTGTTTCCACTCGGTTTTTCACCCTCGTTTTAGCGGTGGACTCTTCTTTTGTTCTCCAGGACACTTCAGGCAGTGCAGAGACAGATTCAGAGACTCATCTGGTTTTCCTCGGATACTTTCCTTGAAGGTTTATGAGCTATTGTTTTCAGTTTCCGGTTTGTTGTCCTCAAACATCGTTGGATGAACGCCCAACATTCGCTGGAATCTCAATCAAGGTTCCTGCTTGTGTCGCTTTGGTTTCGAGAGCAGGTGCACAGAGGATTTTCAAATCTTGACCGGTTTTCAATAACGAGAGACCACAGACATGATGACTTGATTTAACTTATTTTTAATCTTATAATTGTCAGAACACACACAGACACACACACACACACACACACACACTGGATGATTTGGCCCGGAATGTAAAACCACAACCCACAGGGACGATTCCACAGATTCTTCTTCTTCAGTCTTTTTATGGCAGTTGCCAAACAACTTTACCGACATCTTCTGAACTGGAGCGTGGAAAAGAAACATGTTTGATATTCACAATTCCAGATAAGGGGGGGAACGACCGGGGCCTCTAGTCAGGAATGAACCACGCTTGTCGAGTTTAAACGCGCCCCGAATATTCTCTGGTGTGCAGCAGCCCTTACGACTGACGTATAAATTCTGCTACTGCTAATTTAGTTCACACCACGACGACGTCAGCCCTCATCACCCAATCTCCCAATCTTGTGTTAACTGTTCACTTTTGTGGAGCTGGCAGAAAAAATTTGGGAAAATATCCGAAGCATCTAAATCAGACATTTGTGTTCTGACGTTCAGCCCCTGAGGAAAGTTTCAGGAACATGTCTGTGGGAGGAAACCATGTGTTTTCACAGACATGTGGAAAACATACAAGCTCCGAACAAGGAAAGGCCGGCAGGTTCAAACAAAGAACCTTCTCACTGTGAGGCAACAGTGCTAACCACTGTACCACCGTGCCCGCCAAGAATTACGTCATGTGCGCTCTCTTGCGTGAACCAGCTCCTCTTCTATTACACACAATATATATTCGCAGGAATCTCATGAAGAAAAACAAAGTGACAATTGAAAATCAGATGTTTCCGCTTTTATAACAGAGAACAGACTCCGGGCAGAGTCCGCACCAGCTCCATTCAAAGAATCACGGCTTCCATTGGTGTATTTAAGAACAGCTTCAGAGACACAGTCGATATTTACACGTAAGAATAAATACATCTTCAGGAATTGTATGCATATATTTTTTTTTATGTGGTCGACTCCAAAACATACACGTGAGGCTACATGGGTTAAAGAATACTCAGCACTGTTGAAGCCCTTATTGGTGAGCGCGTGACGCTGAGGGTCGAGACACCAGACTGGTCGATCTGTGTCACATTAAACCCTCAGCGCAGCTCAAACATTAGATTGTGACACTTCTCGTTCATTCCAGTGACAGACTGCGTGTTTTCACCCCCCCCCCCTTTTAATTATTTGTAGTCACGGGAACAATAAGAGCTTAAAAAATGCTGAATATCGAGATAATGTTGGTTTAGATATATGCTTTCATTTAATGTAAGAAAATTAAAGCATTGACAGAGTGAATATCATCATGGCCGCTACATTGGACTTCATGTGTATATTTAAAACTTTTCAACATTGCACAAACTCCAACTCCTCCATCACATCCGTCTCAGCTCAGTGTAGATACAGTGAACATCAGTGTTTCGTGACAGTTTATACTCGTGAATAATAACTTGTGGTTGTAAAGTGTTGAAAATAATATGAAAAGTACATAAAATACTGGATTTATTAAATGTGTGATTATTTTTGCAATGGTAAGATTGTGATGCTACGAGTTCCCTAAACTTCCTTCATGGTTTTAAACTTCCGGTTTTAGACTTTAAATAAAATGAGCTCAGATTAAACCAGTGTTGCACTGAAACCTGCAGGTTCTGTTTCCCCTGTTTCTTTTTTACTCGTAAATTAGCACTAGAACCAGGTCGATATCACCTCCGCCAGGGACGTTATTCTTCTATTTCCAGTGTTTATTTTGTCTTTGTTGATTTTAAGTAAAATCCTGCCAACTACAAATTATCATGAAACTTGGCAGAGGGATGAAACACGAGCTTGTTAAATGTTTTGGCGTGAATCCGGGGCGGGGGAGGGGGCAGATCCAGGATTTCGTATATTTTTTTTGTTGTCACGTTCTTTGACATTGCGAGTCACGTCCGGGCCGCACTGGGTGACCTGCTGCTTCTCAAACACATTTCTTGATTTGATTCACGGCTGCTGTGGAGCTGCTGCGTGAGGCTTCTGGTACGACTTCTTTACTTCCGAGCAATAACAATGAAAACCTAAAAAACGAATGGAGTGGATTCAACAGTAACCCGAAAGTGCTTTTAGTTTGAAACAGGTAAAGGAAGTCTGTGACATGTGATCCTTATAATAATATTAATAATAATCATAATAAAAACATGCATATTTAGGGTATTTACGGAGACAGTCGGGCTTTGGCGGAGGTTTGCGCTCCACTGAGTGATTATTTTTGGCACACATACGTACAGTACCACTGTATCACATGGGAAAATAACTTTCTTTGTATAAAACCACAGCTCTGTTCACTTCTTTTTCTGAGATCCCCTTCCACTTGAATTTCCCATCTTAGCGACTTGCAGTTATAAGTGGCAGCCGAGCCACTGTTCTCAGGGAGCGCTCTCGCAGGACGCCGCGCCAACCCAAAAAAAAAAAAGGGGTTTGGTGAAAATCCAAACCTGAGTGGGAGAGAGTGGAATTGTTATTCATGCGACGATATTCCGGGACGCTGTGTTGAGTTGTTTTATTAAAATGACAAAGTATCCGATCCTTGCTGGAGTTTACTCGAGGAATCGACTGGTTTACAAACAGCTCGTCTGGGGAAATCTATCACTACTTGGAGTTTTCCTACTTATTCTCTCAGATAATTTCCATCCCAGCCACTTGACACTGCATCTATGAGTTCTTGAGAAAAGCACGAGGCACTTAAAAGTCACGCTGACACTAAAAGTCGAGCTGACATCAGAGGGAAGCTTGTTTTTGGTTTGCTGTAGAGTGATTGAACATGTCTGTGCATTAATCATATTTCACAAAGCAGCTGAATGTTTTTCTCTCCAATTAAACGTTTCTTTGTTTTCGGGGGGGGGGAAGAATCTCTCAGGAGTGTGATGTGCCTGTGGATAAAATGGGGCCCTAGCCATAAGGGACCTGGGGGGAGGGGCAGACCTTTGCTGTGCACTAGCCTTCGCTCAATTAAATCAAAAGATAAAATGATTTAAAAAAATAATTTTCTGTGTTTTGATGTGGATTTTACAGGTTTGAATGTGTGTTAGTTCCTCTATTTCAACCTTTGAGGTTTAAATAATATCCTCATTTGGTAAGTGTGTGTGTGTGTGTGTGTGCGTGTGCGTGTGTGTGGATGGGGGGTGGGGTTATTCTAAATGGCAGTCGGTCCTTTAAGCTCAGTTTCAAACATGATTTTTTTCATACACAATTTTTTTGGTTCGTAAAATAAAGGTCTTCGGTTCTCATGCGCTCAAACACAATGGTTGTTTATTGGAAATATTTAGATTAAAATATATGGAATTACTTTCCAAACATTTAACTGCTGTTTGAAACCTCGACGCCTCCCCCAACCACCCCCCCCCCCTGCTCCTCAGATTCCCCGCTTAGTTGACCAGGAGCTCCTGGAACTGGTCGGACCGGAGGAACCGGCCGAAGGAGTCCTTCTCCATCAGGGCGTGGATCCTCTTCTGGGCCAGGTCGAAGGTCGCGGGGGAGAGGTCGACCAGGTTCCTCAGGGTCACATCCTTGGTGAAGTGGTCGATGTTCACCTGTGGGAGGAGGAACGACAAGACCTGCTGTCAGAGACGACTACGAAGGAAGGAGGGATGACGAGGAGGACGATAAGAAAAAACCGTACATTTGAATTAAAACGTAAAGATTAGTATTAACAGTAGAATGAATCTTTCTGAATCCAGCGGAGAGATGACGGAAATAAACATGTTTCCAGTCGGACTTTCCACTTTCCTTCCTTTACGTGTGTTTGCACTCCCTCATGCATGATGGTATCAAGCTGTGTTTTATTGCCGTGGCTTGTTTATGGCCGTGTGTGTGTGTGTGTGTGTGTGTGTGTGTGTGTAGACGTTAACCTTTATCAACGCACTTATTTGCCGTCACTCAAAACACCTTGTTGCAGTGTCAAAGTCCTTCATCATCTGTGGTCGAATGATGGTGATGATGATATTTATGGTTCCTCTCTTTGCAGGCACATTAGCTCAGACTGGTTTTAGAATCTTGTTTTGACACTGCACTGTTTTAAATATAGTTCCCATGTTTAGTTTACATCCATCATCGGTCATTGTTAAGGCTCAATTATTCTCAACTTTCAAACTTTCTTTAACTTTGTGAAATATAGAAACTAAAAGGTGTCAGGTCACTGTCTCTGTTTCCTCTTTAGACGTCATGTGTGTTCATGTTTTGTGTCATCGTGCTGTTCGTCTCAGAACATTCTCCGTCTGTGACCTCATCTGTTTACACTCAAGCACGCCTGTATTTCTCCTCTACACACTGCACACCGATAAAAGATGTTAACTCTCTCTGAAGGGAAACTGTTGAATAAGCATCATTCACTGGCTCGTTTTTTATTTTAAATACACTTTTAGTCAGTCGGGGGGGGGGGAAACGTTTCTTGATAAAGTCTCTTTTGTGTTTCCAACATACTGGGAGTATAACTGAAGGTGTGCGTATTTAATATCTACATGTTAAGACTCAGATTCGATGATAATGATTCAAATACAATGAGGAGCTGTAAACTGCTTTGTTGCTGCAGATTGTGCTCAAATCAATAATTTTCTAAATAAGGAATCTCTCCTTGTGTTGCACGCTCTTCAGAGTGTGTAGTCGACTAACGGTCAAGATTAAAGTGAGGATTCTAAATTGAAATCGTATTGAGCTGCACGACATGGGATTAATTTGAGCCCCTGACCTCTCTGGGTCCCTCAGACTGGATGAAGTCTTCATAGATCTTCTTGGCCTTGGCGGCCATCTTCACCGGGTTCTTGGTCTTCTTGAAGTCCTCGCAGGCCATCCAGAACTCGATGTTCTCCTCACTGAACTCGGACTGAAGGAAGCTACGGAAAGCGGCCAGGCCGTCTGACGGAGGGAGGAAGAGCAGATAACAGAGTGTGTCACAACGTGATGACTTATGGCTGCTGCCACAGAGCTGAAGGTAAACTTGATAAGAAAGTTTTAATGCCCCTTGGTTTTTTTAAGGTGTGCAGCTTTAGCTGTTCAGTTGAACCTAAGCCTGATAACTCACATCGGGCGACTTGTTGCTCGCAGGTGTCATCACCTCTTTGAAAAACTGTTTGTCACTAAAGCGCGATGAACCCTGGGATAGATCGGGCTGTTGGGACGAATTCTGTTTTTTTTCAAACGCAGCCTCTGACTGACACAGCTACAGTCGGTTCAGTCATGATCGTGGTGTGAAGTCGTGGTGTCAAGGTTCCACTGACACACGCGTTCGACCAATCAGGAGCCTGAGCTGTCACTCACGTCTTTAAAGCATCAAATAAAGAATTAAAAACAAACGTGATAAGAACGGAAATCCTCCCAACCACTAACAAACATTTATATATATGTATATTGTCCATTTTTACAGACAGTCAAATGTTTATTCTTCACACTAAATGACATTAATAAGAATCTTTATCAGAGGATCCACTGATTGGAGGAAGTGACTCTCCACAAAGTTCTTGTCTTTAAAATTCCTCCTCGATTCTGCGTGTGAGTGAACCGACGACACTCAGACCTGTTTTCCTGCCGCCTCTCACGTACTGGATGTCAAATAACACGTGGGCACTGTGGCTCTCTTCATAACAGTCCTGTCATGTTTGAACAAAGCCATTACGGATCATTTATAACACAGACCGGGCCGGAGGAGGAGTTTTTCTAACACATGTATGACTGAAAGCTTTTATTACAGATGTGAACATCGGAAAACAAAAGCAGAAACACAACAGAGTAATAAAACTGTGATGATAATCATGTTTGTAGTGATGAAAGTGCTATGTGATAAAAGTAAAAGTATTGTTACCATGGTAAAACGTAAGAAAAGAAGGCGGAGACCTCTTTAAAACCTCACAAGCAATTTAAAGAAGTAAAAAATATCCAGTGAAAAATAATTAAACTGAATTTCAGTGAAACAAAAGAAGACGATTACATTCTAAAGAATGTGTGCGGAAATAAAACAAAAGTTCTGTTTGGACAAAAGCAAAGTGTTTATCCCCAAAATAAGGTTTGATGAAAACAATCTCTCATTTCAGCTGGAACCTTTGTAGCTGGACACAATGCCAGAGAAAGGTCTCATTGTGTGAATGAGCATGTGCTGCACATGATAAGCTGCAGCCTCAGGCTGTTATCTCCAATCTAAACGACTACTTTGGTTCAAAATAGAACCGAGTCGCAATCAAGCTGCTTTTTCCTTAAAAGACCTTCAGTGCAAGGACACACACACTAATGACGATCCTGTGTGTGTATCAGACCCACAACTGAGCCTCTTGTACGGGGAATTCTTTTGTGATTTTAAACTGTCGAGGGAGTTAAACCGTGTTTTAATGTGACTTTGACTGAGTTTTAGACAGAATTGTTCATTATTATTAGAAATGAATAGGAGAGAGTGGGAAAGAAAAAAAAAAGACTGTATATAAAGATGGATGACATCTCCATCTCCCCCTGGTGGCTGGCCACAGAAAAAGGTCGTAAACCCCGTCTCCTCCATGTAAGTGGATGGGACAGATTAGTCAATCAAGTCTTTTTTTCCATTTTAGGTTTTTAATCAGTTATTCGACGCTATAAGAACAGGGGGAAACATCATGATTGACAGCTGAGACTGACCTGCGATTGGTCGACACTGTGTGTCGGCAGGACCACGATTCCGTGGCTCCACCCTCTGATCGCTACTGTGCAAACTCTGGATCCAAATACACAAGATGGCAGCGTTTGAATCCAGGATATTTTGGCGCGGACACGTGACGTCCATCTTTATTTATTTACAGTTGATGGAGACGCAGTTTTGTGGAACACGCTTTAACCAGGGGATGCTCCAGAGTTCGGTTTGTTTATTTGTTTGATTGCTTTTCTTTTAATCGCTAATCTCTAAATTAAGTTTTTCTTTCTCGTAAGTACTTTGCAACTATGAGAACAATTAAATGTTTATTATTATTATTATTATTATTATAATAAATAAAAACAGCAGAAATAACAAAAAAGAGTCGTCAGCAATGTAGCTTCTCCTCATGATTGTGATTTCAACATGTGTCATTCATGTGATAATAAACTGTGCCACATATACACACACACACAAACATACACATATATTGGTGTAATAAAATAGAGATAGTACTATTTATAGCAGTATAATATAACATAACATTATTTTACAAGTGCGGTCTTCTATCTGACAGAAGCCATTTGTTGTTGCAACATTACACTTTGCTGTTTTTACTGTAGAGTGGAGGTGGAGGGGCAGGTCCACATGTGAGGCGCAATAACTCACCGAGCTTCTCGTGGGAATCGACAAGAAAGAGGCAATAAAGAATCATGTTAATGTAAAGTCATCTCATGTAGATGAATAATTCTGTGGCGGCAGTTTGCGGCAACTGCGTAATAAATCACCGTTTTGGAATCATTTAGACTTTTCCCCGGAGAGGTTACCATAACATGACCTCTGCGGCCCAGCACACACACACACTCACTCTCACACACAGCTGCATTTGAATTCTCTGAAGGAGACACTTAGGAAGTTCTCCTGCCACCCAGCGAGCTTGGTTCTCCGTTCACATGTGTCGGCCGCTCACTACCATCTGGTCTGTTTTCAAGTATTAGCGGCAGGATTCACACGCAGCACTAAACACCATTGACCGTCAGGAGTTAATCATCAGTCTTGTTGGTGGAGTTTCTTTGCACTTTGTGAAGTAAACACCGGAGCTGCTGCTTAGTTTAAATCAAGTTAGATAGAAACTCATCTCCTGAAAGTTATAATTGTGACTATTTCACACTGACAGGACACTTCTGGATCTGTTCATGTGACAGATTGAATGTTCTCGACTCATAATCAAAATTGAAAGTTGATATAAATCAAACGTTTCAGGTGAAAAACACGTTATTAGGAGGTTTTCACGTGATCTTACAAAGTCTTAAATATGCATCTTAAGTACATTCGGGTCTTTGTTACACAAAAGCTCATTAACGCTTCTTCTATTGGGCTTTAAAATTTAAATTTCATCGAGCATGTGTAGTTTATGCTCTCTCTTCTTCAAAGCTCTTAGATTTGATTCATTTCGGTCCGAAATTCTTAAATCAAACCTGCTGAAAGCTGATTAGTGACGTGTTTGCTCGTGTGTGCCGAGTTCCTTGACACCAACTCAACATCGACACACAATACGAGTAAAGAACGAGCAAACATCTTGCACTGTTGCTATGGAAACCAGATACTGACGAGTGTATTGTACCTTGAACAGTCTTCTGGACAAACACCGGACGTCAAGCATGTCGCATCATTAAGCTCGGGCACATAGTGTAAAATAATGAGGCCCTGTTTGTCTGCTTTGTTGTTGTGTCTATACCTCAGTGTTTGCATTGGACTGTGTGTGTGTGTATGTGTGTGTGTGTGTGGGTGTGTGTGACGCCATCTCTTTCAAGTATTTGTAAGAGAGACATTATCAGAACAATAACATCCACCTGCAGTTGTATTTCCTGGTTTGTTTCAACGCCTGTGTACACGTCAACTCTGTGATAATGTGCTGCCGGCTTTAAGAAAACTCCTGAATCATTTCATACAGATTAAAGACTTTAGATCAAAGCTATAATTAAGAGTCAACAGGAAGAGCTTCACTTCCACTCTGTGCGAGCGAGCGAATAAAACCCTCACTTCCTGTGGAGAAAAAAAAACGCAGCCTGGCTTCAAGTGGAATTAAACTTTGATCCGTTGTATTCGATTTGTGTAGAAGTGGATGATGTGACGGCTCCAAAAAGTGAAGCCAAATCATCTTCATCACCCCCTGGTGGCTGGCTGCAGTATAGGTAATACATTTCCCCTCCTCCATGTTAGCAGATGGGACATGGACCAAGTAACTGAAGCAAAATGTACATTAAATATATATTTTTTTCTGTCATTTTAGGCATCGTCCTGATGCTGGTTCAAGTGTCTCGGATAAAACGAGTTGAAACGTCATGATTGACAGCTGAGACTCGCTAAATCCTGTGGCGCCAATCCACAATCTCTACTGCACAGACTCCAAATGATGTCACCAAAGCAAGATGGCTGTGTCCGCATCCGAGATATTTTGGTTTCAATTTTGTAAATACGCAAGAAGCTGAGACGTGTCGTTCATCTCTTACGATGAGTCTTTTAATGTCGTCTCATTATGGAGACGCTGCTCATTTTTTAAAGGCAGGATATTATTTTGGTTAATCACCAGGGAACTGAGTGTGTGTGAGTGTGTGTGTGTGTGTGTGTGTGAGAGAAAGAGAAAGAGAGAGAGAGAGAGAGAGAGAGAGAGAGGGAGGTAGACTTACAGTTGTTGTTCAGGACTCGGTCCAGACACTCGCGCCACTGAGCCGCCTCCTCAGGAGCAGGTCTGTGCACAAAACACCTCAGATCAGCAAAACTGTTCAAAACTCATCCAAACACAAACTGAAATACTGAATCTTTCTCCAGAGTTATTCAAGTCGAGCACACTTTGACAACTGTCAGATGAAAACACTTTGATTTAAGATTTTTGTGACGAATAAGTGGCATCAACAAAAACTTCTGTCGCATCCTTTTTAATCTCAGACCGTGAATGAGTCTTATTTTATGATCTACAACATGTTTTCATCGTCAACAAGCCACAAACGGAGCCTGTAAATCATCCTCTACGTGTTTAAAGCTTTCAACAACGAGCGGTAAATATCCACACGTGTGTGCTACAAGCTCTCAGAGCCAGACGGCGTCATTTGAGCTTCTCTCACATCTGGAAAACGTTCTGTGAGACGGATCACATCTGGTTGTAAGTGTGTGTCCGAGCGATGATGCGGAGCTTCTGGACTCCAAACACGATTTAAAAGACGGAGTCAAAGAGGATGTAAGGACTGTGGCTGCTCGGTCAAATCATTAAACCAGCGTCTCTGTAAAGGACAGAACGTATTGATCGTCTCTTCTGCAGATTTTTGAGTCTTGTTTTCAACGTTTTTATTTTATTTTTACTGGTATTTTGATTTATTTGTTGCATGTTGCTGTCTTCTTGTTGTGTCTCACTGTCTCTCTGCACCACTGGGACACTGGGCAATGACACTGAGGCTTTTAATTGATTAGAACCTGCCGTTTGTTTCTTTAAGAAATTTAAATGGGTATTATTGTCGTGCAGTATGAGCTAAACTCAAACCAAAGAGAGTTTTCCATTCTGTGGAAAAAGACCAATTTACACATTTTGCTTTACATAACATTATTTCAGGGTAAAACAGAAGCAAAGCAGTTCTGCCTGTTTGTTTTTTTATTCATCTTTGTTCTGAGATAACGTCCGTTCTCACTCTGACCAGATGGTCTGTGTCTGGAAACCTTACACGTCCTTTTAATCCTCATATTTTCTACCTGCTCGGGGCCTCTGCTCTTTCGCCATCACTAAATCTGCTCAACGTCTTCTCCTACTCACTTCTGCAGCTTCTCCGGCTTCTTCTCCGTCTTCTCCGGGTACGGGATGATGAGGTCGATGGCATTTTCCGGCTTCTGCAGCAAAACTCCCAATTTCGACTTGATCTCCTTGGCCCTGCGTGACAGAAAACAGGCCCGTGTGACAACTTCTCGGCTGTGAACGTAATAATAACTCAGCCGTGTTTATCCAAGAATTCCTGGTATTTATCATCCTCTTTCCAAAGCGGCTGTATTTATATGAATAATTGTAATTAATCAGAAGTCAGATTTGTCAAGTTTGAAAGTTAGTTTGCTACAAACGCGACAAGAATCTGTTTTCTCCAAATAAAGAGGTGAAAAGGGAGAAGAGAGAAGAGAAGCAGCTCACTACATCTCAAATCGTATCCAATTCAGTCCAGCTTTACAGTTACATTCAAAACGTTATGAAACTATATTTTCTTATTGTAAATGTGTTTGTGTATCGGCTCAAATGTTTGTAAAGATAAAAGCACATCAGAAAACCTGTGTAACACACGTGAAATATTCTTCTTGAGGTGAGACAGACGTTGTTAGAAGCAGAAATTAATTTAGACAAACTTGACAAAGTAGAATTTAAGGCTCTTTTAGATGGAAACTGTTCATCTGTGACACCAGCGTGGATTTAAAATGTTTTTCAAGACTTTCTGTTAAGTCTTCAGAAGTTTACAGAACAGTTCCAGTTCCACACCAGATGAATTCTCTATTTAAAGACATGAGGAAACATTGTGATGGTGCAGGACTCACCTCTCCAGGCAGGTTTGGGGTAAGGCAGCTAATCCTTTACACATTTTCCCGTTGCTTTCAGTTGCAGCACTTTTAGATAGAAATTCGTTGTGTTGTTTTCACACTTGTGAGTCTCAGTCGCTTTTTCTTTCTGACTCCGGCTTCGAGCACATGAGGAGTTTTATACAGAACCGCCCTCTGGGCTCTGGGCCAGCGGCTTCAAGCCAATAAAACTGGAGTGTGTGCAGCCGAGGGGCCGCGCAGAGGAAGGGCGGGATTTCAGATGTGAGCCTTCCTTTGATTTGAACTTTCAATTAAGCATCAAGCAATTAAGCAACAGATCCAGGACCAGTGTGTAAACAGCACCAGGACTCAGTCACATCTTGTTTTTGATTTTCTAAATGAATTTAAATGAAAAAGGTCAGTTCCTTTTGCTTTATTGTTATTTATTTTTGTCTTTTTTACTACTTTGCTGTGCAACTGTTTGATTCAACACGCGCTACACAACCACAAGTTTGCTTCAGGGAAACATTAACACAGTTGTGGGATTTGAGCTCATGGCCGCTGATGTTGTTCTGACGACACGTGGGCGTCAGAAGGAGCCGGAAGTTGTTTGGACACGAAAAACTCAATCGAATCTAAACTCGCTCTTCAGTTTTCAATGTCACAATATCAGTCGATGGCCTCAAGGACAAAAAACAAGTCTGACATTTTCACTGCTGCTGTATTTTGATTTTTTTAATGTTTTTTTACGTAACATTTATATTGAGTGAACTTTACAAGGTCGGAGGAATCACATTCTGATGATGACGCGATAAAAAGACATCTTATTTTTCTGTTCGGATCAAACTTTCATACGACGAAGCTAGTTTTTCACCAGGTCCTTCATTTCTCAGTTCTGAAGAAAATGTTCTCCAACAGAAAACATATCCATGAAGCACATTGTTACAAATAACTTTTATTCAATTATTATTTCAAAGCAAAGACTCCGAAACACTTTTGTTCCTGAAGGGCTGCACAGTATGTGAGGACACAAATGTCCAAGTCAGTGGCTCTGGACATTTCCTGGGACTATGCCCCCTAGTGTCCAAGGGAGAATGTGAGAATGGAAAAGGCTGATGGAATAATGTTCAAAGAAAGGAGTTAATAAAACTAATGTCCGTCGTGTTTCCTGTCAGTCAAGACACAAAGACGTATTTCTGCGTTAAGCAAACAAAAGATTTCCTAAACCTTGATCCACATACGATAACCATGAAAGCAACGCCTGGTCTCCTGTGACAAACTTGTCCTGTGCTTTGTTCACCGTCCTCCACGAGCTGCATACACACCAAACAGTTTATTCTATTTGTTTACATTCTAATGGAGACATTTCATGAGGACGTCATGTGGACATGATTTATACCGTAAGATTTAGAATGATTGGTTTATCTGAATAATCTGTAAATCACATCTCAAGTCTTATTGATTGAAGTCAAACATTATGACATATTTAGGTTGTGTCCATTTTACAATAGAATGGAGACCTTTACATTTTGAACTGTCCATTGGATCATCTTCTGACTTATTCACGACGTCGCTTCTCATTCTTTATATGATTTACTGTTAAATAGCAGCTTTAGATTAGTTAAACAGCTGTTTAAAAGATCAATCCAATGTAACTTATCATGTACGAGAATGAATTAAAAACTGCATAATCATATTTATCATGTGGTACAATAAAACCATAAAGTTATTGGTATAATATTATTTAAGTGAACTTTCGTGGTTTCAGTTTCACACAGTTTAAAACATCGATGAGTAACTCTGAGGAACTTTTTTCACTTGATCTATGCTCAGTGTGCAAAACCAGAACAGAACATGGAAAGAAAATAATCTGCTGGTGATGAACTCAACGAAAAGAAAGAAAGAGTCCTGGAAAATTATAATTTCACACAGTTTAACATTTGCAACAAATAAATAAACACATCCCTTGTTCCAAAGCACATTAATCTGCTCCAGTTTGCCCGAGGGAAACTTTGAGCTGTGGTTTCCAGTCAGCAGCTAATAAAGAGATCAGTTTGTTAGTCATCTCAGTACCACGGTATTAAAGCCTTGCAGCCGAGTCGGTGCCCGTCAAATAAAGACGTGCAGCACTTATTGAAATTGGCCTTTTTTAATCTGAGTTTTTATTCCGTCGGTACAGAGGTGTTCTAATTTGATTCTGTAGTTGATGTTGTTTTAAATCAGAGTCCTTGAAAACCCTTGAATGTTTCCTGCAATGGCTGAATATTCTCCTGAACACTGAGAGGGGAGGTGAGAGTTTTATTCTAAAGTTTTAAATTTTCTTATTTTAATTATCTCCGGTTATGTTTGAAACAAAGTCTGTTTGTAGGTTCAGCAAGATTACGCAAGTTCCACCAAACTTAGCTTCTTGACCCAATAAGAACTCGTTCAATTTTTGTTTGGATGCAGATAAAGCCGCAGATCCAGGATCATTAGTGTGATAAGAAATATCGAAAATAAACAAAAAACATCTATGAAAAACCTTTAGTACTTTTTAGTTTGGCCCATGTCCCACCTGCTAACATGGAGGAGGCAGGGTACATGACCTGTACTGCAGCCAGACACCAGGGCTTCAATTTGGGGAGGCAGTCATGTCGTCCATCTTTATCTACAGTCTGGTAAGTTATGAGAGCAAGATCGACGTGAAAGATCCTAATTTCTCTTATTTTGAAAAACGTTTTGTCATACAAGCATCAGACAAGACTCTGCTCAGAAACGTTTTTGTTGGTTTGTACTCTTGTGTCAGCAGCAGAGTTGTGTAGTTGTCTCCTGAACATGAAGTGCAGTGAGGGCGTATCACCTACAGACTTCAAACAATGCTGGTTCAGTTTGTTTTGGTTTTACTTCTTGTTTCCTGGACGCCACAGTTCAGGAAGGGACCGTCCCTTTGACTGAATGTGTGTGTTTAACAGCAGTGGCTGCAGCACTGTTCAAATAAACCGGCACCAGTCGGCGTCCGGGTGCTTTGTTTACGACCCCGACAGAAGCTCGGCGCTTAATCTGTGGACGTCATGGCCGAGCAACAGCGTGAAAACACGAGTGATTGTCACCAAATGTCACAACAAATATCCACACAAGTTAAAAGCAATTATCGACACAAAATATGCAGAGTACGTGTAAGTAAACAGTTTTGTTGAACTGAGAGTTCTTCAGAATCCCCTGAACCTCGACGGTGACGTTCTCATGGGACGTGACGGACGCTCTAATTGTTTCTGATACTGTGATTTGATATTTAAATCCATAACAGATGCTGTGCAGCTGGAGTCAACTGAAACCGTCTCGTTGACGGAGCTCCTCTGGTTTCAGTTGACAGAAAAATTTGCCCCTAAACTCTTCACTCATTTTAAAAAATGTGAGCACAACCATTATGGTTCTACCACACTATCGTCATTTCTTTCTCTCATCTCAATGTGGCATTCGGCAGAATCGTTGTTTTCCAGGGAAGAAAATACTGCGACTGCTTCACGGGAGTCTCGGCCTGACGTTACTCCAGAAATTCAGTGGAAACCGGATATAATGACGTTTGTGTGGATATAATATAATAATCCTCATGATGTTTTCACTAGTTCGTTTCATCTAAATTGTATGAATTGTAGTTTTCTTTACCCCAGAAAAGACCCTTTATATTCAAATACTTTATATTTACATGGAGGGGACCCTCTCTACGGAGGCCGCCATCTTGTTTACATTAGTCCAGACTGAACAAACTAAACACTTTTAAGTTCCAGCTGAAGCTGCCACAGGTTCTTTTTCATGTTTTGGAAGGAGAGGGTGAGTTGAGGTGTATTCAGCTGCAACATGACACTTCAACACTAGATGTCACTAAATTCTACACACTGAACCTTTAAATAATTTGGTTATAATATTCAAGTAGTCTGCTTACAGCGTTCATTTTGGGTCGTATCATACAATAAAAGTAAAAAATTCGAAGTCGGCTGAGTCAGTGTGTGTCTCTGCGTGTCACAGGGGAAAGGCACAAGGCTCTTATTTTGAAACATCAGACGGAGTCATGACGTGTCGGTCCCGTTCATCATCACAGCCATGATTGGCTGAAAAGTCGTCACGCGAGAAAAGATGTGTAAACACAGACGTGATCCTTATTTTATTATCCAGATTACAACTGAGTGTCGCAAAATAATCAAATTATCGTACATCATGAATTAGTGATCGTACAGAGGGAACGATTATCGTACACATACAATAATTATCGCACATCTGGCAACACTGGTCGGTGCAAAAGAGCGAGGGAAAGAAAAAGTGAGTGTGTGCGTGAAAGTATCGTAACATCGCCCTTATCTTTAAAACCGTTGTTACTTTTCCCTCAACTTCTGCTCTATCATACAGAAGCCACCTCAGTTATAGTAATCAAGATTTCAATCAGGTTTCATCTTTACCAGCGAGTTCCGACTCCGAGCTAATCTCAGTTTTGTTTTGACTCAGATTATGGAGATTTCAGACGGTTCTCCTGAAATCTTTGTCACTTCCCACTCAACGAAATGAGCTGTGAGCTGCACAACAAGAGGAGAACGTTTCTCACTGCGATGTCAGCAGGTCGGAAGCAGGGGTTTTGCGGTAAACAAAAGAACAAGGCCCGATTGTTTTCATCTCTAGATCTATTCCGAGAATCCTACATCTTGAGATCGTCTGATGCTCCGGGTTTGGCGGACACGCTATGAAGGTAACGTGTCACCGATTAGCTCCTGTTGGTTAACGGGTGGTAAAAGTAATCAGGAGGTCGATCGAGTTCCTCCAGTCTGAATGGTGAAGTGTCCCTGGGCGAGAGTGTGTGAGAATGTGGTTTCAAGTGTAAAATGCTTTGACTAGACTAGAAAAACTTTATATAATGACAGTTTATTAAGTTGCTCCCACTGTTGTGCACCGCAGATGTTGGGTGTCTGCAGAAAAACACACAATGGTGGTTTTGTGTGGAAATTTCATGTGATTGCTTTTTATTTAGTTGTTAAATTAGTCTGGTTGTCGCAGGTATTTTGAAACCCACTCCTTCTCAGTGAACAGGAGATCCACGTCTGTCAGGAGTTGGGGAATTAGGAAGTTGACGGACGTAAATGGTTTTGTTTTGCCATTTGTAATTATGAGTTCTGATGG